TGTACTGTAACGTCATGTAACTCGGTAGTGTCCCAAATTTTCTAGTCAAGGAGATTATGGGGCCAGGGAGGAGGGTGGTCGGTGATGTGGAGTGTGCCTGGGGAGAGTCACATGGAGAGAAAGCACTCTCTCAGGCTTTCACAGAGAGCACATTGGCTAAGCAATGGCCATGACTCATCCACATGGCTGACACTGACAAAGTTTCTACAATCTGAGGTGTAGGATCTCAGGATAGATCCTGATGGGATTTTGCTGACCTTCTCAGACCCAGGGGCTGCAGCTCTTGTTGCATGGGTCCTGCTTTGCCTTGGTCTTAACCATCCAGTAGAAAAGTATGAAGACGAAATATAGGAAATAAAGCCATGTTGTTATGTTGAGCTGTGGGGGGACTCAGGTCAACAATTTCTGACATTGCCAGTTAAGCAGAAGACCCAATGCTATTATGGGCTACAGGACTCTTTTAGAATATTTTGCTGAGTTTACACACCTAAATATTCAAATAACGGAACTTAACAAAAAAAAAGGGTATACAGATGAATATCCATTTTGTATCTGTGTATTCAAAGTGGTTAGGATAGATATATAGTTACATTCTCTTAATGAATAGAATGATTTGTTCTAATAGTGTTTGTAAATAAGATCTCAAGTATGCATCTTGTACAGCAATTAACCACTAAGAAGAATGTATGCAGTGTGTTAATTATTGAAACTGTTCTAGCGATTTGATTTGAAAGTGTCTCACTGCTATTTGTTTATCAATAAAATTATGGAAAAAAATGTTGCCCTTTAAACCTTTGAATCACAGCAATGCAACATTTTTTGCTAACTCTTAATTCTACTTGTTCAGAACTTTCCATGAAGCATTATTCCCCACCTGACACACCAAAGGTTGTTGTAACATATGGATTTTTACCTCTGAGTCTCAGCTCCCAACCAGAACTTTCATAGCATTTGAAGAGCTTAACACATAAATATCAACAGCATCAGCTGGTTTAGAATGCTTTGCCTTTGCTATGAGCTAACATTAGTGGTTAATGAGAAATTTGAAAGAAGAATCAAGATGTATTACACACAGGTACAAATTCCCTATGATGAATGTGATCATTATGTATATCTAAAATATACCAATAAAATTAGTTAGAAAAAAAAAAAAGAAAGAAATCTGAACAAACTCTATCTAACCCAGCAGCTTGTGAAAGTTATTTTAATTCTGCATGCTAGTTGTGAAATGTGGCTTGAAGAAACTTTTGTGAAATCTGTGCTGAAAACCAAAGCCAGGCTTGCTGGAGGAGATACACATCACAGGTTTGAACTGTCCCCAGGGTTGTAGCGTCACCCTAGTATAAAGGCTCTGACTAAAATCAGCCTCTTTCTTCTAACCATCACTATTACCTGTTTTCCCCCTGAGGAAGTACGAGACCTATTCACAAGTTCCCACCCACACGGGCAGGGCAAGATGCTGATACACCCTTGGAGTCCTGGTGGCCGGTGGGAGCAGTGGGCTGAGGAAAGAGTGGGAGAGCGAGCCGAGGCTGCACAGGGACCCTGCCCCATTTCTTTGGGAGGACTGAAAGATTATTCTTATGGGCACATTCCAACCTTCTTACTGAGATTTGTTGTTGAAGAGAGACTACATTTTTGCTATTATTATTTAGTTCTAAAGAACTGAGAAAAAAACAACTGGTCCCTCTGAACACCACCATTTCATTCCCACTGCTTCCACTCTGCCCCTAAAACGTATCCTGTGTTTTTAGACTCTTTCAATTTTTTCCACTGAACAAGAACTTCAACTCATTACCAACTTCTTATGAAGGTCTAAACCACAGGGTGTAACTAAACAAAACCCATGACACATAGATCAAGGGACCTAATTTTAGTTGGCGTTTGCCTTTATGACTGTGTTCATTTGGGATGTGAGTTCTTTGTGTCCCAAGAAATATAGACACTTGTTGCTTAGAGTTTATAAACACTCCCTTATACCAATGGCATACTATTCTGTTGGGTCTCCTAAACAAATAACCAGCATATGTTCATTCATAAGAAAGTGCTGGTACCAGTAGGACCTACTTTCAAATCCATCGCTGTCTGAGGTCTACAATGATTCTCACTGCCCTCAAAATCAGTCCCAACCAGAAGAAAAGTGGTAAGTTAGAGTCCAAGAAGGCACATGCACCTCGTGAGGAAGTAAATGCCTGTGAACAGGCAGAAGTGATGTGGTGCTCCAAAGCAAAAATCCGAGCCTCAGGGAAAGGAGAAAAGAAGGTGTCTGTTCTCTTTCTAGATCTTTCTCCCCTCCCTCCATTAAATATGCCTTCCGAAGTGTAAAGAACTAATATAAAGCCTCAGGAATCATGACTATGGTTCAGAAAAAGACAAGATGATAGTTTTGCAGAGAAATGTAGTATTTACGGAGGATTCCTCATAAATCCTGTGATAACTGTGTTGGGAGAGATTGTGCTCTACAGAAGTTGTCCTGTGATAAGATTTATTTGGGGGCTCCTCACACTCTCCCCAAAAATAAGACAGTATTAAATCCTGTACTTATTTCCAACACCAAAAAGTACATGTTCATTTGACCTATATCAACATGAGTATATATCCAACTAAATGATAAAATATCCCCTTAGAAATCTAAACACACTAATTTTCAGGGTGAAAATTTGTAACATGATTTAAAAACTAATGTCATATGTACCTAACTATGTGACTACTAGAAGAGTATGAATGAACAGTTGTCAAAGATGTTGTTTAGCAATTAGGAACTTAAATCTGAAAATATAATCTTGAGATCTTAATCTAAGGTAACCTTGAGCCAAATACCTATATCCCTAGCAAAGGTTTCCCAATTTAATGGTGTTTTCAAAACCCAACAGTGTTGGTAACCCATGTAAAAATTTCAAGGGAGAAAAGAAGATACAATAAAAATGTAAATAAGCAATCAATCCTAAGAACACTAGAAATTGTTTTAAAATTAGAAGAAAATGTGCCCAAAAAAACCCTCATGATTTTTCCCACCATTTTTAAAGACTAAATTCTCTCTTATCTAGAGATATAATATTAAATGTATAACTATTTGTCTATCTAAAGTATAAATAAAAGATATTTGCTCTAAAAAAAAAGTTGGCATTAATGGGATACTATGTAAATTCTAGGAAAGTCAGAAATGCTTATGCCAAAGACCACAGGAAGAGCATCTCCCCCCACCTCTCTGTAATAAAGCACATGGACTTTAAATGCAATTTCTAACCAACACAACAGAGTTCCTATCTCTAAAATAGATAGACAGCATCATGGAAGAATAAAAATGAGGGAGAGATAAGCTCTTTCTTCCTCCTGTATTATACTTTTAAAACTCCCCTGCTTCAGAATTTCTGAAGTTTGTCTTCCTTTTTCCATCATTGCTTGAATTCAGCATTATTTTCCATTGCAAACAGAATGAGGAACTACAGGGTAGTTATTTCTGTTGATCGTAGACAATTATTCCACCATGCCCTTCCAGAAACCTGCATTTCACTTTCTAAATAAGCAGAAACAAAGTTCATACACAACTAAGCTGTTCCCTGGGGCGCAAGCCTGAGTGACAGATGCAGCCTCCTCTAGAGAGGCCAGCAAGGCCAAACCCCAGGACACTCTGCCTCCACTCGACTCACCTCCATACTACAAGGACTACGACCTCTGTCACTCTGAGGCTTTGCTCAAACATCCCATTTCCTCCCAGTTTTCCTCCATACTTACGACCTCTGAGGTATGAGGATGGTTTTTAAAGCTATTGCGTTGCTGAAAAATATTACTGAAGATAGACCCTCATGGCATATTACAAAATGATATACTCGTGGGAAAGATTTCCATCCTCCCTTCACTGTCAAATTTCTCCACAAATGATAGGCAAAGGTGTCAACCTGAGTTCAAGTCTTTGTGCACAGCACTGGGTACAAAGTAGACATCCTACAAATACTCATCCAACTTTAGATTCCTTACATCCACACTAAACCCACCACAAACTCTGTAGTTCAGCTGACTACAAAGCTCTGTAGGGATAAATGAGAGGGGATATATTTTAGAAATTTAGACTCTCTCTTTTAACCAAAATCATCACTGTGAATTCTGGTGAGCATCTTGTATATATTTTTTAAATTTATATTTCTGTGCCTACTGTCAAATTCTCCCTCTCCATGAAGTTGTTCTTGAGGAAAACAAGCTACCGCCCTTCATAAAACTCAGCAGAATTCTAATAACTTTTCATGCCTTATCTTGAGACTCACCATTTGACCAGAATTTGGAAGGGCTAGAAACTAAAGTAATTTGCATTTAAAACAGTTAAAGACACTTTAAATTGATGTACTCCTATAGTGTATAATCTGAACACTTTTATACATCTCTGTAATTAAAGCAGTAATTGGTATTTGGCTACAGCCAAAGGGGAAGACAGAAATAAGAAAAAGAGAAGATATGAGAGTTTGTGTTGTACATTTTATCCATGCTTTTAAAATATAAGTGAAATTTAATCTTCAAAATGAAAAAATAGACACATTTTCTGATATTAAAATATAAGATTAGAATACTTAAACGGAAACTGTTAGTGTGAAATATGGCTTCTTTTTACATCAAAAACAAATATTGCAGACTTGCTTTTCTTACACGTATCCTCCCATCTCACTAATATTTACATCTCTCCAGAGTAGCTTTCATGAGACACTGAGAGGGAGAAGGTCCCGCGTGCACACGCTGGACAGAGCCCTTCCCAGCCACAGAGCTGCCCACGAGCTTCCGAGAGCAATGTTAATTTCCAACGTTGGGATTTCTCTTCACATTTTCTCCTCCTAGGGTGTTAAATTCTTTCTGAGAATATTCTACTTGTTAAAATGATTTTATTCTAAGTATAAAACATTTCATTTTAAAAAAAACTACATTTTTCATATCCTTGTATGAAAGGCCCCCCAAAGCCACAAAGATAGGGAAATATCAGATTTTTTAAATATAAATCTAATTACATACCCTCAAGCATTATGAACACTGAACACAGTAACATTATATCCTGTATTTGTTTGATATGAGATGAGAGGCTGGGAGGCAGATGGTAATTAATTAGAGTTCCTGAGCTTCTAAAGAAATATTAAAATAAAATGCCTAACTGCTTTAAAGGAAGAAATCTTCAATAGCACCCCCTCTGTTTCATTGATGATTTTTATGCCATCTATCTCCTTAGGGAATCTCAAGCAGGAAAAAAAGAAAAAAGCCTTCTTTTAAGCCACGGAAAAGTGAGATCTGATGGAATCTTCCCGTAACTCTCGATGCTTTCCAATGTTACTTTCTTCTTGCTGGCTTCTCCTCTCAATGGTTATTCTGTATTTCTTCCTGGATAAAGGGAAAGTGAATGTAGTAATAAAACCTCAATTTGCTACAAAATACTATGGCTTCTCTTACAAAGAGTGCCCTCGAGGGACATCTGGGTTTGGTTTGATAAATGAGAAGTGACAGAATATGAAACCCTGGTCAGAGATTAAAGTAGTGTGCCCCAAGGCATTATGTCCTTATTCAAGGAGGGCAATGGGCACTGCTTTCTGAAATGCTGTAGAACAAGCCCTCCCCTTCTTCCCTGGGTGCCTTTGGGTTAAGTTTTGTCCATTCTTCCCCCAAAGCTCTGCCTGACTCCCAGGATATGCTCTAGATAAAGATCAGATGAAGTGTACTGTGACCAAAGGAACAGGAATCTGATTGTTCCCACAAAGGACCACATACACCCAGAGTTACATTCCATGCAAAAATGCAGAAGTCTTGAGTCTGATGAGTTACAAATAAGCCACAAACTCAACCAGCAAACATTACAAAAGAATGGACCACCCTCACAGTGTGTAACAATCAGAACCTTGAACACCCGCACATACTATGATTTTACAAGCCTTGGGGTTTAGCCCTAGTGCTAACTAAGCATGCAAGCTCTCCAGATACAAAGCACATCAGTTAAGAAACAGGACATTCCTCTAGACTGTCCTCCTCTGGGCTCTGGTTCAGGTGGTACAATTTCTATTCCCACGACCCAGTACCCACTGTGCGAACCCACTGACTCACAAGGCTGAGGTCACACCAAAAGAATGGTGGCTTAACTCTCCCAACATGACACTTCTTATTTAAAAGAGATGGACAAATTACAAGGAACACTGTGCACAAACATGTAACCAACAGGGAAAAAGAGAGTACATTCTAACTGTATAAATGATCCCCACCTGAAAAAGTAGAAGGCCATGAGCAAGCCAGCACCTAGTAAGGCACCCACGACAATTCCTGTCACTGCCGATTCTTCTAGGCCACCTGCTTAAAAAAGAAACAAATAATCAGGGTTCATTTGGGGAAACAAGTGAAAATGCCTCAGATTTCATTTATTGGAAGATGTTTCTCAAGCTCTTACTCACTAGAAGCAAAAAAAAATTAAGGAAATTCTGCAATTCTTTTTTTTTTTTTTTTTTTTTTCTTTTTTTCAATGCCTACTGCAAAGTTTAAGGAAAGCTTTTCAGAAATTACTAGATAAATGCAGCACTACAAAAAAAGTGAGAACAGGGGCCAGGGAGATGGCTCATAGAATAAGCACTTGCCTGGCAAGAGCAAGGGCCTGAGTTCAACCCCCAGTTCCACCAAAAAAAGAAAAAAAAAGTGAGAACAAAAATAAAAACAGATTCAAGAGAAATTTGAGCAGACTGGAAAGTAGAGATTCCAAATGTATCCACAGGATTTTTTTTTTTTTTTTTAACAGGAATTGAACTCATGATCTTGTGCTTGCCAAGCTGGCCCTGTGCTGTTATCTCCCTGGCACTCCGCAGCTATTTGAGTCATAATCAAAGATAAGAACTGGATTGACCACGACACTGCCCCAGCACTCAGGATGTTCACAGATGGATGGTGACGTTTCCAAGTGCTAGAAGATTTGGTGTGAACTCACTGGGTCAGTATTCTGTTTTTCGGTATTATCTCACTGGCATCAGAGTTTCATGTCAAAATGTCCTACATAGCTTTCTGGAATTTGGAATAACAATTTGAAACAATCATGTTCAATGTCCAAGTTATATAAAAAGGATAAATAGCTAGCTTTGTATACAAAAAGTCTAGTAGGTGACCTCTGGTAGGTTAACTCATTTATTCCTCAAAGCAATGGTCACTTCCTGAACTCACTTCCTCCAGGAAGTGACAGCAAGTTCTTCAGAAGGGCACAGGCCTTGTGGAATCCTCTCATGTCCCTGATTTACAAATTGTACTTGTTTATTTTATTTTATATATGGGAAACTCGGGTTTACATAGTTGAAGAGAATTTCCTAGGGTCGCAAAACCAGGAAAGACAGGATGAGCTTTCAAATCCAGGCCCGATAATTCCAGAAACTGTGTTCTCAACACTCGGTCTCCTCGACTCCTCTATATAATTATTGCATGAACATCAATACTTCATAGTAGGCAATACTCACTTAGCTTCTCACTAGCTCTCAAAAGAAGCCTCTTTAATATAATGATTTCTAATAAATTTTCTATTTACAAGTTACTTATAAGAGCACCTTGCCCACTTATGTATAGAGGCTCTTTATAAATAATGCACTTATTTGCCAATTTGTAAATTTTCAGGTGTTCCAATTTGAATATTTAGAGAATAACTATAAAGTTTAAAAATAGAATGAGCCTTATCATAAGAGATGCGTATGTTAGTAATGTATGTAGCTAATCATTTGCTTTTCCCACTGTGTGAACCCACTGAGATTTATACTGAAATGTAAATCTCAGATAACTAAGAAACTATAGCAAGAGATACAAAAGTGAGGAGAAGGCTTCTATCATTGTAGATGAGAAGGCTTGAGTGGAAGAAAGACCTGGAAACCACTGAGAAAGGCAGGAGCCAGTTTGTGAATAGTTCCAGAGAAGAGCGAGAGCGGCACTTGCAGAGCTTGAGCTCCCAGAGAATGGGTCTGTGAGCCTCACACAGATGAGAGAACAGCAGATTAAGGCTCTGCGCTTACATGATTTGCAGGGAGAGCTGTTGGTGTGCTCCACAATTCTGGTTTCATCTATTCGCAGTTTCAAAGGTCCCCAAGGGTATTTGACATTTGGCCGCATTTCAAATCGACCTTGTTTTCCAAAATAATCACCAATCACCTACAGAAACGTAAAAACAAAGTTATCAAAGGAAAGGCCAGAGGTACCTGCTTCCAAAGGCCACACGCGGCTCACAGCCTGGCTCTGCTGCTCCCCCGAATGATCCTGCTCCAAAGCAGGAGGCCTTCGGGGGCCCAGGAAACCAAAGGCCGCTTCCTGAGCTCACTTCCTCCAGGAAGTGACCACAAGGGCTTCAGAAGGGCACAGGCCTTGTGGACTCCTCTCTTGTCCCTGAGGACCCGGTAAGTTAAGATTCAAAGTCACTGATGTTGCTGTCAAGCTGGACATGTGTGAGGCAAAATGATGGGTCCCCCCCTCAGGAAATATGGTCATGGCGTAGATGTGGCAAAGGAGGCTGTGCTGCCCTAGTCTGCCCCCAGTAGACAGTGTTGTCCCTGAGTAGCCCTCTTCTCTTCTCGACTCGTCTGGTCTCGTCTCTTCTCCCTTCCCTTCCCTTCCCTTCCCTTCCCTTCCCTTCCCTTCCCTTCTCTTCCTTTCTCTTTTCTTTTCTAAAATACTTAGGATTGAATTAACCAAAGGTTGTTGCACTGAGCAATAGCCCCAGTCTTTTATTATTTTATTTTATTTTTTACTTTGAGACAGGCCCTTGCTAAGTTCCCTGAGTAAAACTCAAACTTGCAATCCTCTTGCCTCAGCCTCCCTAAGTGTTGAGATTACAGGTATGCACCACCACATCACACTCCCTAGATTTCATTTCTTTTCTTTTTTTTTTTTTTTTTTTTTTTTTTTTTTTTTTTTTTTGCTACTGATAATCAAACTCAGGACCTTGTGCTTGCCAAATAGGCACTGTGTGGCTCACCTATGTCCCCAGTTCTCCCGAGATGTTCTTTAGCCTACTACTTGGTAGGAGGGAAGGTTTTGGTTGTTTTGTTTGTTTGTTTGTTTGTTTGTTTTTTGTTTTTCTCCTACTTAAACACTTTCAAAAGTCATGGCTTTTCCCTGCTTATCTTCCTACAGGGCACTGCCCCACCCATCTGCCACAAAGGAGCCCACACCCAGCCATTTGTAAAGCCCAAATAACCTTCACTGACCTGCAAGCAAGAGCCAGGAGCCCAAGTGAAGCATATAACAGGTACACAGCTTCACACCTTCTGGGAGTCTGGCAAATAATTAAAGCACTAAAGAGCGTTTGTTAGGAACTTCCTGTTTGACAGGCTATTCCTTGGGGGGATACACCATCCCCTAATGACTTCTTCCTTGTTGCACACCCATGGCCAAGCTGACTCTCTTCAATTGGCTCCTCCACCCCCTGAAAGTCACTACTCTAATAGTCCAGTTTCAGGCCTCAGCTTCTAGCCAAGACTACAGTTTAATCAGCTGCCTGAGCCTGGATCTGAGTGAACCTTTCCACACAGGTTCCAAGGACTTGTTTCTGTTTTGTCTGGGTACAAGACACGCTCTTGGGCAGCCCATGAAATCTGCCCTTTTTCTTCAGACTGAGCAGGCTCTCACAGGCTGTGTCAGGTCACAGTAATAAAAGTTCTAGGTCCTTATCAAGATATAGTAATCACTGGCACGTACTGAGCACTTAGCCCAGGCTACACACACCTTTGTGCCTACAGGCCCATAAAAGACCAGGCTATTGAAAGGGTCAAAATATCAGTGGGACAGAGCATGAGACACTCCTGCTGCCTTGGCTCCTCCTACAAAGGCCAGGCATATCTGAACAAAGAGGAAAACAGAAAGTCCTTTATTTCACAGCCATAGCAGGTGACAGGAGCAAGGATCCTGGGCATGTGCCATCAAGGAAACACAGAGGAAGGGGCATCATTTGCTAAAACATTGAGTATTTGTGTAATTCTTATATACAAATTTATCACTTAAGCTCTGCATAGAACTTTTCTAGGTTTCATGCTATCTGGTCCTAAACAGTCATGTGAGATGAGCAAAGAAGATGCTGTGAATTCTATGTATAGCTTAGAAAACCAAATCAGAGTTTACAACCCAGTAAGTACCAGATACTCAACTTTGCATCCAGCCCTCTTTCCCCTTCATGATACTATCCTGAGAGCACCCTGTCTTTTAAACTATTACCACTTGTAGAGTTAATATCCAAGCACCAGGGGAAGAAAAGTCCCCAGGTTTAAGGGCAAATGCAGTTTCATTTTTACCTCTTTGACCCGGTGCCCCTGTGGCACAGGACTCCAGTGTGACCTTGACCACTTGAGGATTAGTGTCCCCTGTGAGTCCAAACATGGCTCCATTTCCGGACTCTGCCCTGAGGCCCCCAACCAACAGTGAGCTGCCCTTGCCTAGTGTCCCCACATTCCCAACTCATTCTTATTTTATGGCTATTCCAAAGATAGCCTACTGGACATCAGGACAAAGATGCTCTTGGTGCCACCCACGCAGAGCCTTCCCTGGCTCACCTCCTGGGTGCCTGCTTCTGCGTCAGTCATGGCGATCACAGAGAAGTCCCCGTACCGATCCCCATTGGCGTCAATGGAGACCTGCCCAGCAATGCCTATAGGACCAGAGGTGAAGAACTCCAAGTTAGTCACTGAAAGTATCTCTGTCTGCCAAGAAAAACAAGAAAATGAATTACAGGATTTTTTAAAACAAACTCATGCCACAGGGAATCTCATCAGACTTTGAGCATTTTTGTTGGCATTTAGGAAGACATTGTAATTTCATCTGCGTCTGCATTCCTAAATTCTTAACATTTCTCCATTTAAAAATGAAAAGAAATAGAAATAGATGATCATCTTTAGGGAACACAGTGAAGAAAAAAAAGAAAAGGGTAAGGCTGATCCTGAAAGCAGCACGCTTATTCTAGAGTTTCATATCAATTTTTCTTAACAATGACAGAGTGAGACGTAGAGCTCCTCATCATAGGTTCACATTGTCACTGGACAAATACACAATGGAAGCAAGTGTTTTTGATCTACTCTTCCCCCATATATATAATTTCTTAGCTTTAGCAATGCACTTCACCCCTAACACTGATCATCCCACTACAAATATCTAATGAATTGGTGACCTTCGATAATTGTTTCTCTTCTTCTTATTTACATTTTTTCCTTTTGAAAATTTCCAAAGTCTTGCCATTTAATTCAGGATGTTTAGTCTCCATAAAAGGAAGCACTTTTGAAAGCTTTATGGCTTTGTTGCACAATGACTGCATATTATGCAAAGCAGACTTAAAGACTGTAAATCACCTATTGAAATAAATTTATACTCAAGCATTAAAAAAAAAAACAACAAATACACAGTGGATGCCCTTTTGCAAGGCTGTGGCAGTACACAGGAGAGCAGGGGGACTGCTTCAAGGGTCCCCACAGCCAAGAGCTAAAGAGCAGCCACCTTGTGTTTACCCATTATCTACCCAGAAGCAGTGAGAAAATAACTAGGTGCCAAATCAGTGCAACAGCTGAGACCACGCTGAACTGAACACAGTCTCTGTTCAAGAGAGGGGCAGCCTGCACGGGACTTTTGTCAGTCTAGGCTGGGGCGTGCTTGTCAGCATTGAGGTCCAGCTTGGCCATCCCTCCCCCTTGGGCCTGGGTGGGATACTTCATCCCTTGAGCCTCCATCTCCACAATTGTCAAACAGAGATAATAATAACAATAATAATAATAATAATGTCCCCTACCAAAAGGCCATAGAGATGATTACATGAACTAAAATAAGAACTTCCAAACCATATTTAAGAGAAGTTGGTTGTTTTATGCTGCTAGTATTACTGTCAGTATTATTACTGTTGTTGTCATTGTTGTTGTTGCTACCCAGTGCACACCCCACATCCCAAGTGTTTGGGGTAAGAAGTGATTCAGATTTCAGATTTTGGACACACATGTTGGGGTATCTTGGAGATGAGACCAAAAATCTCAACACAAAATTCATTCTTTTCATGTATACCTTATGCAGAGAGCTCGCTGGTTATTTTATACAACATTTTAACTAGTTTTGTGCAGGTAAAAGGCTCCCATGGTAAGGATTTTTCCATTTGTGATGTCGGAGTTTCTAATTTTGGAGTATTTTGAGTTTCAGCGTTTTGGATTAGGGATGTGTTTATTTTACAATTACTATTATTATGGGTAACACTGCACTAAAGCCTGGCAGTGGCCTCTGACCATGCCCAGCCACTCAGGAGAGCAGCCAGTGCAGCAGTGGGGAACTCAAAAAAACTCCAATATATAAGCAGGAGATCTCAGAGACACTGAAGGAAATCTATGATTTGGACAAGCCAGAGAGGTTGCTCAAGTTGTATCTCCAAAGGCACAGAGGCTAAGGGGAGAAAAGATTCTCCTTTAGGGAAATGTAAGAGTCCTCCTGGGGAGATGACCCACGCACATGAAAGGATGCAGAGAGACATGAGGCCAGGTAGCCTGAGCCTGGAGGGCCTTTAGTATCCACTTGCCTTGGCCAGCAATGAGGCTTACAGCAGCTACTCAATAAAAGCAACCACATACCATTGGCTGATACTAAATATGTCTGTATTTTCATTTTCATTCACTAAGCAGAATGCACATAACAGCCACATCCTAATGAACTGAAGCTATTTGTTTTCTTTGTGGGAGAGTTCAGTGTAATCCCTAATTGATGTTTCTATTGATTTGGTTCTCTCCAGAAGTACTGACTCCCCTAGTAAAATGAAACTCTGGGGAAAAGCATCCCGAGGGAAAGTTCCATCCTCTAGTGTGGTTTGGAGAGGGCAGGTATTTGGGTTTACTGTCCTTTGGGCTGTGGTTGGAAGGCCCACTGATTTTTCCAAACTTTGGTCTACTTTTCTGGAAAAAGAGTGGAGCTGCCATTCATCTTGATTTTTTTTTTTTTTTGGTCTTCTTAATATACGCTGGTTACAAAGCCTACATCTCAAACTTGTACTGTATATTTTTGGCAGCCTGTTATGGTTTGTGTCTAGTTGTCCCCCCAACAATGCCTCAAGCAGTCATGGGGTGGACTTCTAGAGTTTGTGATTAACTCCTGATGTACAGGGATTATGGGTTCCAGTGCTATCAGGAATATGGATGTGAGTGTTTCACCACCTTGGGCAGGTAGCCTGAATGCAATTTAAGAGAAACACACTTGCTCTCTGTAGCCATTGTTGCCACTGCTCCTTCCTTTTGCTCTTGCTGTTTTGCTGTTTTCTGCTATCATGAACTGCTGCCCTCTGCTATGTTCCAGTCTGCCTTGCAGCCAGCAGTATGGACTGAAACCTCCTCTAACTGTGAGCTAAATAAACCTTTCCTTCCTTCACTTTAGGTGTTGGGTATTTATCCCAGTAATGAGGGAAGAATAACTGAGACACCGCCTGTCAAATTTTAAGGGACAATATATATATTCTAAATACACACCTAAATGCAGAGAGATATTATATGTATCAGCTATCCAAAACCATTTGTCATTCTTCTCAGAGGTGTCAGCAATGGTGCATCCTGTTCAGTGTTTGGGGGAATATTTTATAAGACAAGGCATCCCTAGTAATCCAAGACCTCATTACACCTTAAAGCTATTACAATTTTGCCAAGAAATGGAGTGAGAACCTAGGGTGACTGATTAGCAAAGTGAGACTTCACCTCAGAGAATCAGACAGGAGGTGAGATTGTCAGGGTGACTGCAGAATTTTCCTGCACCTCAGTACTGAGACTTTCCACCCTCATTTCTCTGCACCTATCAAGGAGCTCAAGGGCTGAGCCACAGCCCTATTTACCTTGTCACTCTGACCTCTCACACAGAGGAAGCTCAGCTTCTTCCCAGGCCATTTATTGAAAGTCTTGAGAGTTGATCACAGGTTTCATGGCAATAAAATCCAAATTTGTCAAATAAAGTCTACAGTATTTTTCCTTTGACAACTTAATGGTCACTTACAGTGACCACTAAAATTAAAATTGTTTTTAATTTTAGGGAGGCTAGGATTTTTCTTCATACAGATATGCTAAGGTTCTTTTTAGGCTTACCCTTAAATGGACTATTATTTCGCAAATAAAATGGGTCCTCCAAACCATTCAAACCCAAAAATTACCCTAGCTTCAATTATCTCCACTATATATGGACAAAAGAGATTCTAATTTAGAGAGAACCGTAGGGTCTCAGGACTCACTGCCCATTCCTTGCAGCACCAGTCCCAGAATGGAAGCTCCCAGGTGACCTCTGGGAAAATTTGGCCCATGGCCCAGCTCTACGCACAGCGACCTTCCAGCCATTGTGGGCTCCTGCCCTTCCCTCAGCCTCACTCCAGGTGCCCTCCTGCACACCCCAACTCTGGCTCCTGTCCTTCTGTCAGAGGACCAAGGACAAATGACCACATCATGTAGTGAGTAATAGTTAAAAGTGGATTGGCCGGCCACGGCTCTGTCCCCACATGCAGCTTCTCAGCGTATTGTGCACAACTTCTGGGAAACCTGACCTTGTCCTAATATGCCCCTGAATGACCGCCATTTGGTTCCTGCTCCTCAGCTGAAGCAGAGGAAAAGAAAATCACTTCAAAAGTTCAATTACCCACACCTGACTATCTGTCTACAGTAAAAAGAGATGCTGCCCTAGTTTTTGAGTATGGTGTGCCATCCACTAAAAAGAAGGAGACATGAAATCCACCAACAGCCACTACAGCTAAGTCCCAGGCAGCCCACCCTGGGCCTTTTCTGATGACTGAGAGCAAGTGGAGGCAGTGGAGTCTCCTAATGGGAGAAGGGAGAATGCCCTTGCCTGTACACATGCCTGGGCACTAGACTTGGCAGTGCTTGCTCTTGACATTGAAAACTTTCGCTCAAGAAGTTACAAAGGCATCCACAGGTGGACCCCAACCCATGAAAGGGCTCAAAGGAAGAGTGCACTGTGCAAGAGGCAGAACTGAAAGGGTGCTTGTCAGTCGCCAGCTGGCCCACCTTCCTTGTCAAACAGGTGAAGAAAGCAGTTCAGCAGGCTGCAGCAGACAGGGATTCCACCTTAGTGACTAGGATGCAAGTCCCTGGCCAAAGGCCAGCCATCTGCACTGTAGGTTAATGGTTCTCCAAAGAAGCCCACCAGCTTATTGCAGTTCACTTCCCACAAAGCAACACATCACCGGAAGTCCTCATGAGACTTTCTAGTCTTTCCAATGGAAGCCAATTCCCTAGCAAGTCCTCCCTCAAGGTTCACTGGCTCTGGCCTCACTCTCTGTCCAGCGTTGATTCCTGTCATTCTGGCCCTTATATTTGCATCAAATATAGTCCCTGGCTCCTTGGAGGACACTCACAAGTTCCCACCACAAACATTAAGACTGTCTGTAATCACTGTACTTGCCCCTGAGCATTCACATAACTCCTCCCACCCCCTCCTGGGTCTCTACCCAGCTGCTACTCAGAGATGTTTCTGACTGCTCTAAGTCAGCGGTCTCATTCCTCCCCTCCCATCACTTTTTTTCTCATCTCCCTACCCTGTTTTATTTTACAATCTCTGAAATGGCAAATCTACTTGTTTGCTGCCTGCCCGCACCAACTTGCATGTAAACTGAACAGGTTACAGGAAACAGCTTTGCTTCACTGCTGAATCCTCAGCTCTGTGGACAGTGCCTGGCACATAGTAGGTGTTCAATGAATATATTAACGAATGAATGAATGAATGAATGAATGAATGAATGAATGAAAAGTTGATGTTTGCAGAGCCACAGGAACCAGCTCATTTTCTTAGTGAGTCTCTTGTTAGTTCTGAATGTTGGTGAGGTGAGAGAAAGCCAATCCAGACTCCTTATCCAATGGGTAGAGAAAAGAGGCTCAGAAAAAGGCCTGCAGTTACTCTTGGATATGTTGTGGGCAAAAATACAGAGTAGCAGACTTGTCTGGAAAACATTTGGCAGTATCTACTATACTTTGTAAAGCACTAATTTACCTTTGGACCAAGAAATCCCACAATTAGAAATGTTCACTGCTGGAAATATTCACAAAAACTCATCACTCATCAAAATGCACAAGAGGTTCATAACAGCATACTGAATAATATAAAAAGTTAGAAACAACTGAAGTGTCCACCAGCCAAAGGGGGTTAATGAAATTCTTGAATTTGAGTTGCATAAGGTAGACTAATACATAACTCACATTTGACAAGTGCTTATACAGAAAATGCTTCTATTTGATGACAAACAAGTTTAAAAAAATCTCAAACAAAAAAAGGCATTCATAGTGAGATCCCTTTTTATATAAAAGCTCTAGATAAGATAAAAATGCAAGGGCTGGCCAGGTAGTTCAGTGGATTAAAGCACCTGCTTAGGCAATTGCAGGGGCTGGGGGTTCAATTCCAGACCAGCTGTGGTTGGGAGGCTGAAAAACAGGAAGGATCACCATAAATCCAATCTGTGTGATGAGACCCTGTAGACCTTGTATTTAATAATTTTTTTAAAAAAAGATAAAAATACATACCAGCTGGCAGAGGCAAAATATTTTTAGACAGAATCACATAGAAAACTGTTAACAGTGACTACTTTTAGGGAAGATAATTAGAATAGGGGAAAAGCCCTCACTTTTCATTTTGTCCATGTTTTATACTGCTTAAATGTTCTATTCAAGAATCGTCTTGCCAGATATGGTAGCACATATCTATAATCTTAGTACTTGGGAGGCTAAGGCAAAAGTATTGCCAAGAGTTCAACCCTGTTCCCCAACCTCAAAAAAAAAAAAGTAGTCTTAGTCTTGTTAATATTTAAATGTCAGCAGAGTCAGCCATATGGATGAGTCACAACCATTGCTTGGCCAATGTGCTCTCTGTGAAAGCCTGAGAGAATGTTTTCTCTCCATGTGACTCTCCTTAGGCACACGCTACATCATCGATCACTTTCCTCATTGACCTCATAATCTCCTTGATCAGAAAATTTGGAACACTGCTGAGTTACATGACATTACAGTACAAGTTCTCATATGTCCTAAGTCTTAATTGACCTTGGAAGGCTAGGGCCAAAATGTTGGCTTTCCTTGCAGCCCTCCTTTTTCTCTAATTTTCATCCACATGGCTGACACTGACAAAGAGTCTACAATCTGAGGTACAGGATTGCAGGATAAATCCTCAGGGGATTTCACTGACCTTATCAGATTCAAAAGGTACAACTCTTATTGCATAGGTCTTGCTTTATCTTGGTCTTAACCGGCCAGCAGAAAAGTATAAAAACAAAGCATAAGAAGTAAAGCCATGGTGTTATGTTGTGCTGTAGGGGACTCAGGTCAACAATTTCTGACATTGCCAGTCAAGAGGAAGACCCAATACTATTATGGACTACTGGACTCTTTTAGAATATTTTGCTGAGTTAACACACCTATAATATTCAAATGATGGAACTAAACAAAAAAGGGTATACAGATGAACGTTCATTTTGTATCTGTGTATTCAAAATGGTTAGAATAGATATATAGTTACATTCTCTTAATGAATAGAGGGATTTGTTCTAATAGTGTTTGTAAATAGGATATCATGTCTGTATCTCATACAACAAATAACCACTAGGAAGAGAGTATGCAATGTGTTAATTATTGAAACTGTCATATCAATTTGATTTGAAACTGTCTCATTGCTATTTGTCTCTCAATAAAATTATGGAAAAAAAACACAAAAATAAATAAATAAATGTCAACAGAGGTTGCTTGAGCAACAAGATTGGAGGTTCTTATTGGTGGTTCTTTGTTCTCAAGAAAGCAACAACAAACATGTACCACTTGAAAAGGCAGAGAGCAGCAGGGCCAGCTGGACTTGTTAGCCATCTTGAACTGCCAGGTTTAACCATTTTTAACCATGCCAGCAAAGACTTCTGAGTTTCACAAAAACCAAAATAGTCTGAGCAAAGGAATGCATATCGGGAATTAACACTTCTTTAAAGCCAGTCACAGATCTCTTCAAAAATTTATTGCTCTGTTGTGAATGAGGTTTGTGTTAAATGTAAATTTAAGAAGCAGAGTTGTTAGCTAAATAATCAGAAGAAAATATTTGCTATTTCAGTGGGACTTTTCAAAGCACATGCATTTGGTTTTCATTTATTATCCATCCTTTAAAAGTAGGAAAAGCAAGACACTGGAAAGGTCCCATAGATTCAAGCGAGAAAAACAACCACAGAAGAAGCAGTTTGATTGGCTACAGGACTGTCATCCTGTAGACTATATCCCTACCTTCAAATGTCCTGTTCCAAGTCTGCTGGATAATCTTCCCTCCATCTTTCTTGCTGTAACCAGCTCTGAGAACTTCGTGCAAAGCCAGGACATAGAGGAGGATGGCATCGTGGAAGCCTTCCACAAACATGTTCACCTGAAAAGGAAACCCCAGTGGGGTGAATCTGAACACCAACATGACTCAGGCTCATCAGTTGGAAAGCAAGCACCAAGGTTCAAGAGTGAGAATGGAAATCAGGTCGGAGAGGACAGGCAGGGTGGGCAGAAGGGCGACTAGCAAGTATGCTGTTTCCTGACAAGGTCGAGTGAGGAAAACCTCTCCCCAGTCTGGGAACTTAGAAAGCAGACAAGATATTACAGAAGGCAAGAAAACCAGACGTGCTGGCCAGGTTAATTATTCCAGCCTTTGCCCATAGTTCCCTGTGCAGAGAAACCCTCCTTCCCTGTGTCTTTACTGCAGGTCAGCCTGAATCTACCTCTGCCTTGAGCTCCTGCCTATCTTGAAGAGCGCCTGTCATCCTTCCATGTCCTAGATGTGGACCATACAAAGAGAAGTAGGTGTCCATTCATTCCCACCCACTAATTGCGAAGAGGTCATTAGCACATGTGTGTTAAAAAGTGCAAAGAAAAATGGACACTGATTTCTGCCTGCCAACAAGACCACAATTTGTGTCCTCTCCACTGTCCACAATAATATCTCTATCTCTCTTTCCACCCCCTGCCAAGCTCTAAAGATAGGAATGAAAAACAGGCTTGGGCCTTTGGTACATCCCATTGGGCTCTGACTCAAGTAAGGTGCCCATCCCCTCCAGAAACATGGGTTCATTAGTAGAAACCCAGACCAAGTGACCTTGGGAAAGTGGCTCAGTCACATTGGCTTTGTTCCCTCATCCGTACCCTGACCATTAGAGTATGGCCTGTTTTAAGGAGTGGTCACAAGAGTCACATGACACAGGGCCATGAAGTACTCAGTACATTATGTCCAGCACACATCAAGTATTCAACAAATACAAGCCAACTAGCATTCTCACCATTTTATAGACTCTAGCATGTCACAGATGCTGAGTTAGAGGTCTGTTAAGAAAGAAAGAAAGAAAGAAAGAAAGAAAGAAAGAAAGAAAGAAAGAAAGAAAGACAGTGGGTCAAAGAGGGACAAGACAGGCAAGAGAGGCTTTAAACACAATGGCAAAAGTTGAACTGAATATTGAAAATAAAGAGATCTCTTGGAGAAAGGGAAAATTTTGAAGGAAATTCTTCGGGTGCCATAGGCAAATGTTCTTTTAGGTTGTGAGCAGGAGGGGCAGGACAGAGAGCTAAGAAGATTCAGGTCCTTTGGAACTGGAAGGCTATGCTGTACTGAAGAATTCAGGCTACATTCAGCAGGCACTCGGTCACCTTGCTCCTCCACTTTATAACTAGATAATGAGCACCCTTCGATAAGGGCTAAAACCACATTCAAATGCATTGTAAACTCCACTGGACATAAAATATGCAAACACAATTTTGGAACATTGAGTAATTTACCATCTCCATATAAAAAGTACAGTCCTAAATCCACACTTTCTTATTTCCAGGAACAGACGCCAAAGCAGCAGAATGTGCTGGGCATTTGTTTCCTGGGGCACCATCGTGAGGCTCTTGTGCAAGGTGTGACCTGCGTCTACCCTGTCTGCAGAGCCATAATTCACCTGTGTGGCCTGGCTCGAATGCAGGCTCACAGAAGGCATAGTTCACCACTGGTGTCACAAGGCCTCAACTCACCGCTAAGGACCATGGGTCCTAACCCCGGTACAGAAGCAAATGTCTCAGATTTGCCAAAGGCCAGTGCTGCAAAGCAGGTTAGGATAACGGCTAAAGAAGCAGACCCACTATGCTACTCTGACACTTCCTGGCTAGGTTTCTACACCAACTGACCCTCAGCTTCTCCATCTGGAAAAATCTACCTCCTTGGTACATATCTCATCAGTGGCAGTCAGGGGCCTTGGTGGATAGCTCAGTTGTTTAAAGTGCCACTTGCACAAGTGCAGTCAAGGAGCATAGGACCACGGTTCGATTCCAAGCTTCAGAAACTGCACAGACCCATCCTTCAGGCAGCCTGAAGTAGCCAAAAAAAATCCTTGTCATTAGTTGCAGTCAGATTCAAATGACTTGATAAATCTGAAAGACTTCTAACAGCATCTGACAGAATCCTTGCTCACCTGTCACAACTATCTAGAAGTACAGAATTACACATGTTAGGATCCTGCTTAGCTTTTAATTCCTAACAGCAGCATTCAGAAAATAAGAGACTTAATTCTAGGTATGACATGTCTTGTGGACCCTTTTTACACTTGATGAAAACTAAAGCTTCTCATTCCTGCCCTGATGCCTAGGCAAATCTCTTATTTCCACAATGTAAAGATCTTAATTCTGCACAATACGATGGGTGTAGCCCAAGCTGGTCAATCCTGCTGAGCCTCAGAGAGAGGGGCATGGTGGAAAAATGTGCTGCTTCACAGGAGGGCTCAGAGTTAGCTGGCTGGATCCACAGCTCAGTCCCAGACCTGACATAGTTAGTACTTAATCTCTCCAGTCTTCAGTTTCTTCAACTGTTAAGTAAGGCTTGAGAACCGACTCCCAGTATAGAGTTTTTCTGGGGTTTAAGTGAACTAGTGCATGAAAAACACCTGAGACAGTTCCCAGACCAGAAAAGTCCCTGGTAGAAGTTGTCTCTTTCTCTTAGTTGTCAGTCTTACATACCTGAGTCATTATTTTCTCAGGCAAAAAATGATGTAGAAATAACATCTATTAGTCAAACATAATTTTCTACCATGCTAATTCAGCTTTCTGAAGGAATATGAAATTCTCCTTAAGGCCATGAAATCACCATGGCTTGAGAAAGCATACATGCTGGTGAGCTTTGACAAGTACATTTTAGCTTGTAACACAATAATGCTTTTTCAAAAGGTCTATCTAAGTGCTGGGAAGATAGCTCAGCGGTCTAAGTCCAGCAAGTGTTAAGGATCCGAGTTCAATTCCTGGTACCAGATGCTGTGCCACCCCCGGAACCCTGAACGCACCCCGCTGGCCCCCAAAACAGGCACAGTGGTAGATACCTGTAACCCCAGCACTGGGGAGGCTGAGACAGGAGGGTCACTACAAGTCTGAGCTGCATAGCAAGACCCTATTAATCTAATTAATTAATTAATCATTTTTTAAATGGTCAAAATGTCTGTCTTCTTACTGATAATTATAACCACCTTGTTACAGAGAGAAGCCATGGAATCACAGAGTCATGGAGCAGGGGAGATGTAGCTCCTTAAGAAAACTTTAATTTAGTCCCCACCATCTTTAATGGCCAAAGTAATAATTCCCTCAGTCTTCCTGCACTGTGTTCCTGAGTGTCATGTTCTTAAGCCCCTTGTCTCTGGGGGGCTTAGGATGACCCTGCTAACACGATCAAATACAAGGTGCAGGGCCTCACCTGTACACCTCTCCTCTTCCTCTTGTCCCCTTCTCAGAATCCTACCCCAAAGACCTACAGCATCAGACATCCACATCAGCACCACCCTGTCTTCTATAATTCAGGATGGAAGAATGATTATCTGACCAAGAAGGGTGAACTAGGATGACTTTGTTCTAACAGGTAGCATGGCAGAAGACAACAGATGCCTCCAAACACATGCCCATAGCTAGGATGGAACTCATTCCATCTTGGTTTGCAAATGGATCACAACATTTATCTTCGCTTCTCTCAAAGTAGCTGAGTGTCTCCCTTTCTTACCAAAATTAGCAGGAGAGCTGCTGGCCTGGACGAGACTGCTGCCACCCCACTCTGCTGCGGGGAAGGTTTCAACACCTACCTCATAGTCCCTCAGGCCAGAAGCAAAAACCCTAGGGAGCATCTTTTCTAAAGGAGAACATTCTCACATTCACATGTGTTTTTTAATAGGAGGAAAGCCTGTTAGCACATTATAGACACTGAAAATTGGAAGTGCAAAGTAAGGGGGAAAAAACAAGGAAGAAATAAAACAGCATTAAGTTGTCTTAGGTAAGCATTTTCCACTGGACCTCCAAGCTGAAAGGATTCAAATTATTTGGTCTGTACCTTTGCTTCTGGACTGAACAGTGCTTGAGCCTCAGAGTGCTGACGGATAGTGTTGTCACTACTAAGCACAGAAAATGGGATCCCCAATGTAAGAAGCTTGTTCAGTATTTAGCAAACTATTTAGCCAGAAAGTCGATCCTTAAGGATTAAGCTAAGTCTTAATTAAATTCCTAAGTATAGCCATGCTCCTGCTAGATGATAAACAAGCTGGAATAAAAGAACAATTTATAGTCTCCACCAGAAAGCGACACAACTCCATATGCACACACGGATGGGCTGGGCCCATGGAAGTCAGCACATGGACCCCCATCAACGGCCTTCTGCTCTGAAAGCACATGCCAGGCCCTGAACCTAAAACCTCTCCTGCTGTTTTCAACCACTAGAGACCGCAGACAGCAGGAGTGGCAGGAACACTGTGTGGGCACTCCAGAGACCAAAGAAGAGTCTGCATGGACGAATACTTCACAAATAAATTCTACCCTTTAAAAATGTAGTAGGGTCTTGATTACTTGATTACATCTGAATGTCGTCAAGCCATAACAACCTTGTTTTCATTTAGTTTCCTTTTTAAAAGTCACAAAATTAGAAGTCTACAATTTAGGAAATGGCAGCAAGGTAACAAGTGAAAGCACCACCTTCTTCATGCCAAACAAGAGCAGCTCGCTCTTACTGACCGACACACGGATGTCAGCTCTTCTAAACTGGGCCAGCCTTCATGGAATTCAAACTGGCTGTTCACTGACTTACTTTAACTGGAGGGAAGTTCAACTGAACATCTTTACCCTTATCCTGGTTGAACTCTGAGAAAACGTAAACAGTAAATAACTTACTGACAGGCAGCGAATCTCCACCTGTGGCTCTGTACTTGCTAAAATATTTGCTATCTTCTCTGACTGGCTGATTTCTCTGTCCCCAAATTGAAGTTACAACTTACTTGGGTGGGGAGTTTTTCCTAAGTTTCCAGACAACTCTCTCCATCCCGGCCTCAGCTCTATCCTTTCAGCAATACCCTGGGCTATGCAATTAACAGATCTGACAACTTCGAGGAG